CATTCTGCATGAAAAAGACCCCTTTGTTTCAGAAAATGTGTGGTAATTATGATCCAAATCAGATAGTAAAAGTTGAGGGTTACATTAATTTATTGCATCGTGTTAGTAAAGCTGAAAGAATGGTAAATGGATTGAATTTATACTGTAGAGCGTTCTTATTGTCTTTACGACCATGAAAGCCCTTCAAAATGATGAACACAGGAAGCAAGGGATCTAATAAAAAAGAAAATCAATCAAACCTGGATTTGGAAGAAAAACTGATGTGAATGTATTCTCCCGATTAGTTTCTCATAATTATCATGTATGGACTACAACATGGAATTAACTAAAGCATAGCAGGGGCCAGTGGCTTACTGTGAGGATTCCAAATAAATTAGTCTTAATATTTATGCACATATAGCATCAAACAGTCAAATCAAAGATTATTTAACTAGTCCAAAATCTAGTCTTAAACTACATAGAGCACTACTCACAAGCCTAATCAAAGCTGTATAAACCTTCTTGAAGGCTTTGAGAGATAAGATGAAGGATCACAAACTGAATAAGTAGCTCAAGAGGATACTCATAGAGTTTTATGTCGTATTGAAAATAATGTGCTGCATGTTGGAAAGAAAAACCATAAAGCTAAATTCTTTGAAGTAGAAGTGTGTTTCTGAGATTCAATTTATTGCTCTGCTTCCAGTCCCTGACACACGTCTGGACAATGATTGTTGAGGCCGTAGAAGGAGAGAAAAAGAACGACATCCAGGTCTAATTGTGAGCAGGTGACTGCCGGTGAACAGTCGACAATTCGGAAAAACTGCCCCCACTTTCAAATGCCACAGCCACACCGACTGGCCTGTTTCCCTCACAGGCCTTTTTAATTTTCCATAACATTCCTTAATCCACCTGGCCGACTCTGCACACACCATACCAGACATGCAAACATACACACACAGACGCACACACTTTCACATTTTGTAGATGGATATGTCTGGGCAGCTTTCACTGGTGCATGATGCACGCAAACATAGCGCAAGGCAACAAACAACAGAGAAATATCCACAACAATCAGAGAGTCAAGGACACACAAAGGGCTAAGTTACATACTGTAGCTGTATTGTGTTACATTATGCATGGTTCAACATACAAGACTGGGTTGTTTATCTTCGGTTGACAGGTTGGTGTGTAAGCCACAATCTCTTGATTACACACATTGGTTAGAACCTTGAAAGACTTGTTTTGGTAACGGACCATCTGGTTTCCATATGTCTGTCAGAAGCAACTCTTACTTTTGGCGGGAAACCAAAAAATATCAGCATTGCTAAACTCAGCACTTGGCTGAGGGGCTCGTCGCTTCCTGAAGAGAACAGAGAATCCTCTGATCTATTAAAAACCTATATACAGTCCATGTTAAAAACCCAACACGAAGATGGATGCTTCATGAAAGCGTTGTTGCAGCCAAGAATTGATTTTAAATGAGTGTAGCTGAGCTTTAAAAAAAAGTCATGTTTTGCACCACCCAGCTAACGCAAAGTGCATATTATCTAACTCTGCACCATCCCCCATCAATTACAAAAGTTATTAAAAGCATGTGTTTTTCTATTATTGAGTGAAATGAGAATATTAATACAACTCTCATGTCTGTATGTTAGCTATAAAGCTACAGCCATACACCGGTTAGCATAGCTTAGCACAAAAACTGGCAACAAAGTGACACTGCTGGTCTTGGGTAGGTATTAAGATATTCCCCACGGCTACTTGACATGTTCAATAACAATAAAGTGTAAAAGAACACATTGTGGGTTTTGGGGGGGATTATGTAAGATTATGTGTTGGGTTTTGGTTTCCTAGAAAAACAATGTCACAAAATTCTCAGAAACTGTTTTTGCTTTCGTTGGTGGATATTGTTACCTCATTCAAGTCCATAGACCATTACCAACAACTGTTCATGAAAGTTGGACATTTAAGTAGAGTAAAAAAAGATGTGCCTTTCTGTAGACACATACTGAACTTTACAAAAACTAAATTGTTTCAAGAATCTGATTGTTTTGGCAGTTGAAAAATGAACACAGATACAACTTTTATTTTATTCCTTATTTCCATAAATCCCTGAAACAACACAAAGATTATTTGAAATCAATGATTCGTATGAGGTTAAGATTAGTTCAGGCACATGCTTTGAATAATATGAGTCGCCTCTGATCTCTAAAAGCAAAGCCAGACCTGTCCTCAAAGTTATCTGATTGGAGATGTCGTGTCACCCCGCCAGTTGGACCTGAACACAGCTGGGAATGTGCCTGGCTACAATATCCTTTTAGACTTTTAAAGCCAGTGGAGAAAATGAAGTAGATAGGGAGGTTAACACAAGAATAGGAGGTAGAATAAGGGGCGAATCTGTCCAGACAGAGTTGAAATAAAACATAGAGCTCTTTGAGAAAAAAGCTAAGTGGATTCTCTAAAAAGGAGTATTGTAATCGCAGATGATTTAAAACATCCTCCACTTGTGGCGCTGAAGTTTATTTCTGCTTTAGATTTGTTACCTCCTCACAGGGCCATGTTTCTAAAACATTATCGCTGAGGACCACAGATAGGATGAATGGCCAAGCAAAAGAAACTGAGGGAATCAAACTGAATAATACTTGGTAATCCTTTTGGAGAGATTATTGTACTGATAACCTGGAGTCTAAATGCCTTCCCTTTTTAAGTATGTTTTAAAAAATGGTTTGACAGTTTAAGTAGTACGCATTGTCAAGAGTTTGATAAGAAAGTCTAAACCACTCATGTCAAATGTGAAGCTACAGAAATTTAACATAGCTTAGAATTAAGACTGGAAAAAGGGAAACAGCTAGTTTAGCTCTGTCTCACATGTGATTCATTGACATTTCACTTCTTTTTACCAACTTTTAATGGGAAAAGGGGCACAAAAAAATATTTGCTTTGCTTGTAGTTGTAGATCTCAGCAGAATATTGCCTCAGCTTATTAAGGTAGGGCTTTAGATGCAGAACTATTTCTTGACATGGTGCAGTGATTTCCTGTTTTACCATTATGTGAAAGGTTACATTTCCATTGGAAAAACTCTTATAAGGCGCGTTCACACCAAGTACTTTTCCCACAAAGGTTCCTGAGAACTCTTTAGTTCTCATGAACTAAGTACAGATCGCGTTCACACCGGAAATTAGTTCCTGGGGGTGGATTAGGCAAATGAAGCCGCTGACGTCACTTATCCGGTGTGAACGCGATCTGTACTTAGTTCATGAGAACTAAAGAGTTCTCNATTTAACACCCTTTTCACACCGGTTACACGTTTAATTTGCCCTGTACGGTGGGCGCTGTAAGTGATGAAAGTGGGGGATGTTGGCTTATCAGGCGCCCGCAGCTCACACCCAAAGTGCGAGCGTGGTAGCGAGAGAGCGAGCAAGGGAGAGGGCGCACCGGTACCGGCGCTGTTATTAGAATCTGGTGCTAGCTGTGCTAAAGGATATAAGAAGTAGATGTTTCTACAACCAGGGTGGAGGAGAGCTCTCCTGTCAGACTGAGAGGCTCAGTGAGGTAAAGGACTCTCTGAGTATTTAGATAGTTAATTTTAGTCTAAGTCATCTCAGTGGGTCTCAAACGTTTTGACCACAAATTATGTAAACACATATTTCCAAGGCACTCCTTCATAATTATTATGATGAATAAAAACAGGTTTTAAATCATTTCAATGTATACTACAGTAAACCAAAAATATCGTTTAAAGTTGGAGAAATACAAAAATACGCATAAATAAATACATTTTAACTAGGTAAAATAAGATATGAATGAACAACAAAAATAAAATAAGTTACATTTAGGCTATTTGTTATTGGCTATGGTAGGTTATTGGTTATGTTCACATACTTATTTGATTATTAAAATGTAAACCGATCTTTTTCATATGGGTGTTTTTAGAGTTGTACCCCCTAGGTCAGGTCTCTAGTAATTGTGTGCTCAAAGTGCACCAGATTGAAGCATTTTACTTCTTTTACTAAAAAAAAATCTTCTCTGGGGGGCATACCCCCGGACCCCCCTAGAGGATGTGACGTCCACCCCCCAATTCAAACATGTTCATTCAATACTGAATACATTTGAAGCCATTTTGACGTCTATTACTCTATGTCAATAAGTTTCTGTTTCTGTAGTGTATTTGTCTTTTGTAGAGATTTTTCATTTATTCTTTATATATAAAATCTCGCCTAAAATCTCGCCTAGGGCAGCAAATTGTCTAGAACCGGCCCTGGTACTAGGCCTCAAGAGCCTTTCTTGTGCTGGCAGACACATAGAAACACAAATTGGCGGGGCGCACTTTGCACGTGCACACACTAAAAAATTCCACGCGCTCCGCGCTCATATTATGCTCGACCCACGTGCCTTAGCATCCTAGGGGAAACACTGCATTTAACCACACCTTGGAGCGCTTCTCTCCGCCATCCCCGCCGTGTTTTGCATGCATGTAGCAGCCGTGTGTGTGTAAACTGCTCCGCCCCCTCGCACACAGACGGGGGAGAGAGATCTCATCTGGATTGGAAAGATCGAAAATACACCGACCATAGACAGATTATTTTGTCTTTTTTGCATATTAGAAACGAGTTGGCGACACTAAGACTGCAATATAATGTTTTTGTAGCAATAATACATATGACATATATTTTTTAAATGTCTCCAGTACCGATAAAAAGACCGTTAACGTTGGAGCTTAACGGCGCGTAAAACACACGAGATGACGTCCCCAACGAATCGACGACTGAATTAGTTGGCAACTAATTTGGTCATCGATTTGAATCTATGAAGTCGATTAGCTGTTGCACCCCTAGAACGGACACGTCTCGTGTGAACGGACACTATTCCGGGCTGTCGTCAGCTCGGATGGAATCTGTATCCACTCGTTGTAGCTCCGTTTTTAAAAGATTTGGGTACGGAGGAAAAGAGAGGGTTTTATTTTCTGACGCTGCGTGAGTTCCCCGACGCACCGGGGACACATATTTATGTATAAAAGACATCACAAAGTGCATTTTGCATGATAGGTCCCCTTTTAAGTCTAATCGTTTCATTTTGTTGTAGGACTGCACAGAACAGACCTTCCAGAAGAAAACCGTTATGAAGAGGTGAGTGGACGTGTCTGACATTTTTTATGCATACATGCCTTATGTGGATTTAAACAATCAATGACAGATGAAACTCTCCTCTCTGTAGGCCATGTATTCTTATCATGGATTCCCTCAAACTTTCTCTTCATGAGCGTGTCTTCAAACTCTTACGGGAGTAAGTATGACAATATTTATCTGTGTCTTTATAGCTGCATTTGTGTGTTTTTATAAATGGATTAATATGCATTTCTTCCTCAGGTACTTGCAGTCTGAATGGGAAGTCCGTCGAGGTTCATCGAGGGACTTTAGTTCTGATCAGACGCAGAGCTCGCACTGTATTGTTCCCCTGCAGGACAACAGCAGCGACTGCGGCCTCTACCTGCTGCAATATGTTGAGAGTTTTTTAAAGGTAAAGAAGTTGGCAGCATCTCTTTTCACGGGGCTCAAATATAGGGAGATGTTTTATCGTGATATTAGATCAAAAACAACTCTAACCTTCCAGGTTTAGAACTCAGTGGGACATAAATGTTTTTTAGTGCACGTACAAAGTTATTCATTCTTCTTCTGCCGTTCTCAGGACCCTGTGGTGCACTTTGATCTTCCTCTACAACTACAACGATGGTTTCCACGGCACCAGGTGCGGAGGAAACGAGACGAAATCAGAGATCTGGTACTTAGACTTTACAAAGAACAGAACCTGGATAGTAACTGATAGACTCATGAAGGAACTGCTGTTCCGTGCATCCATTCCTGTAGCCGTTACACATCACTGCTCATACTGAGCAACGGACACTTCCGATGACCTGAAAACATTTTCATTTGCATCAAACGCTGTTATTGATTGATTGTTTTCTGCATTCACTCACAAACAAAACATGTACACCGTTGACTATCTGTTGATCCTCTGATTGAACATGAAAGCAGCAATCATTTCAGAACATGTTTGTACACCCTGGAAAACTTTAATGATTGTTTTTATGAGGCAAGATCTTTTTTTTGTTAATTAATTATTATTTATTTTAAATTTAGTATCTAGGGAATTTGATTAAAGTAGCACCACTGTAAGGCCTAGTTTGTACAGCAGATTGTCAACCTTTATTGTTGAGTTCACTTGTTTTGCCAACATTTGAGGTTATTTATTTTAGTCTCAGTCAGGGATTTTCTAATCAGAACTGTTCTTATTTTGCATTCTTTGCATCGGTACACCTTTACAGGATGAAAACAGGCACAGTATGAAAATCATTTCCTATTTTCCCCTTTCCATTAGAGAATGACATTAAGCCATAGGAACTGAAATCCAAACTTGAAGTAGCCGTTTATCTGTTCCATTTTCAGGATAAAGGAAAAAATCTATTTCTGTTTGTCATTCAGTGCCTCACACAGTTATCCAGTGCCAAGAAATTACTTTACATACTGACAATGAACTAGGATCAATCACTCACGTCTCTTTGCAACAAAGCTAAATTGTCATAAACATTTGTCTGTGACACTCTTTCTATCCCGATCCAACATGACAAATCTTAAGTCACAACGGACGTTAACTAAACATAAATAAATTGGAAACATTATATAATTCACTATAATAATGTTGGACTACCAGTAAACTACTTGTACTGTACGTTTGCATACAAATCATGGTTCCGATATTCATATGGCATTATTACATTATCTAGTCATTTTAAGTTTCTTGGTTAATACCATTTATTATTTTCCAGATTTTGCATACTTTTGCAAAATGTAGGTTTCTTTTACATTTTAAACCACTGGCCTCAGTATATAGCTTCAGAAGTAATATGTTGGTTCGGACTTTGGGACACATTTTTGCCCATCATGCAGTCCAAATAATAAGTTGTGTGTTGTATTCAGTAATAACACATATTTGTTGTACGTAAGACATTTTTTAAATAAAAACACAAATTGCAAAAAATAATGTTCTAAAATGTAAAACCTACCTTAAGACTCATTGCAGTGTGTGCCTAATTTGTTCTCCGCATAGAAGAGAAGTAGTCTTGTTTGCTTTACGAGTTTTTGTTCAAATGTTTGTGTCTCTTTTAACACTTAATTTTATTTAGTTTTTTAGACATTGTGCTGGATGAATGTACTCTAGCTGATTCCCAAATATCTTTTGGTTTTTCCATCTTATACTAAAATTAGTAAACCAAATAACAATCATTGTTCTGTCGATTCTTGGTCTTGTTTTTCTTTTCTTCTGGAACCAGGATAGCGGCATTAAACCATCCCAGTATGTATTCTAGAGCCAGTGGACAAGTGTGGGGTCCTGACTCCTGACTTCTTGTCTTACTTGGTAACAAGATGAGGATTAGAGGTTTGTAACTAAATGAGAGACTGAATGTGTTGTTAATCAGCTGATTTATTATTTTCTAGGAATTAAATGTTTTATTTTGGCTCCAGGTCTGCATTTTTTTTATAAGAGAAGCTAATAGGCTTGATTTTGTTCTGTAAAATGCCAATATAATCTGTTCAGAGGGTTACATGGTCGGCTTAGGTGTATTTACTGTCTCAGCCGCTAAGATCTCCTCTTCCAGTCTGACCCCGAGTAATCCCCCTCCCATTCTGTATGGCAGTGTGTCGCAGTGTATAGGGATATGCCACATTTACACTCAATCTCAATGTATGAGGTACACCTAGCTAAAACCAATGCAGTTTAATAAATCAGTCTTGTAATAAATCCTGGACTACGTTATTCTGAGCTATCTTTACCTTCAGAATTTTTTTTTTATTACCCTAACACAGAAATACTTGCAAAACAATAACTATAATTGTTGTCAATTATTTCTATCTCTTGTTTGAAAATGTCCGCTCTCACTCTGGTACACTTTTGAGCCTAGTAAGAGGCACGGATCTTGGGATGAAAATGTCTGTCAGTCCATCACTTTGGTGGACATTTTACAGCCTGACTTGCATCATGTTTTAAATGCTAGATAGCCAAGGATAGCATGTTAACACACTTCATTTAGATTGAGAACAGTTTAAACATTTCAGCTGCTCAACACCAACATGTAACTATTGCCATTGTGAATTTGTGTTGGCGATTTCAGCCTACTTTACCTGGGTTTGTTAGCCCTCTTTTCTTCCATATACGTAATGGCCTATAGCTAAGAGATCTCAGATTTCCCTTTTTTTAAAACAGGATAAACCCAGTAGGAGGAAGAGTGTGGGGTTAAAGGTTGACTAAGCTCATGACTTTCGCTGCTGTCAAGATATACCGTAATTTTCGGACTATAAGGCGCACCTGAATATAAGCCGCAGCAGCGGCATACCACTCTCGGTTCCACTTTTACTTTTGCGCGCTACCTGTCTCACTCTTTTCCGGCCTCCAGCTTTTCCTGCTGGAACCCGCCGCTTAAAGGTGGGGGTCCGCGGACCGGCCATAGAGCCCATAGAGTTAAAGGTGGTGGCCGTTAGCTGTAAAAATCCATAGATTAGCCGCACCGTTATATAAACCGCAGCGTCGAAAAATGGGGAAAAAGGCGCGGTTTATAGTCCGAAAATTACGGTACATAAGGATTGTGATTGCCGCTCTTGAGCTCATCACCTCAGCTGCATGGCCAACCACATCGTCACTGTAATTTCTGTGAGGGGGTGGGTCTGTGTGTCTGTGTTTTTGGGGGGTTTCTACACAAAAAAAGCTTTAAGTATTTGTGAGTAGCATCTTTCTACATTAGATCTAAGGTGATGCCCTTTTCTTTAACCAGCCAGATAAGCACTTTCTTTTGTCATTTGATCTTATTGCTTTCAGATTGATGTTTCTTTTCTTCCACTTGGAGCAGCAAACACACCGCCATTATGATCTTCAAAGCCTGGATGTGTTTAATGCCATTTGCCTAAATAGGTGGGTGCTCTAAAAGTTTAAAGACCTGTCCTTCAACTTGGGGACCAGGATTAATCATATTTTATTGGAAATGTGCTCAGTTCTTGCAGGACACATCCCAAAAAATCTTGAGTTAGTAAATAATTATAATATCTGTATGTTTTGATGCATTTTTTTGATTGCTGTTGATTGTGTGGCCCTTGTCACCTCCTCTCTGTCCTTGTTTCTTCCACACAGCTACCTCTCTTCACAGTGTTGCTCCAGTAACTTCTCGGCAAATTCTTCTAAAAGGCTTAGAGTAAACAGGATTAGAGAGCATTAAAAAATCCTCCTCTCTCCAAGAGCCATCTGCCTTTCTACCTCGGAGCTGTCCTCTCAGCACCGTGACCTACACCTCATTTTAGCTGTGGAAGAAAGCAGGAAACCATTGTGTCATATGGTCATCAAATGATTTCTTCACAAACTTCTGTTATTTTTCTGCGTCTGGAGATTTATGAACTATGCAAACTTGTAAGAAGCTGCTTTTGAGAGGACGTGCATATCTACTTGATCCTTTTCCAAGACGGATTTAAACACAATCACGGAAGAGACATGTGCAACCTTTTCAGGAGATGTGTTTTCTCCTCTGTTGTTTTTAGTTTTGTGGTCCTATTTTTGGACATAAGGACAGGTATGTATAATAGTTAACTTTTAAGCTAAGCACCCAAACAAGGGTCAAACATTCAATCTTAAATGTTTTTTTTTGTTGGTACCCCAGATGCAACAATGGAGGGTTCATCTATGGGTTACCTGAGTGTGCCCTACAGTCAGGAGCTTTCAGAAGTTGTTGGTGCACCCGATGTGGAGGTTTCTGATGAAGGCCATGAAGTTGTCTCTCGGCGGAAGAGGAACATCCTTTTTCCAAATGGAGTCAAACTCTGCGCACAAGAGTCCGCAGAGCAAGTTGTTGCAAACCACCTGAGCTACTTTAATCTCAGAGGTAAGACTGAACATGAATGAGAGTGGATCTCTGTATACTGTGGATGGACTGTTGGGTTAGGTCCTCGCCCATCAACAACAATCACCTCACTTCCTAACCATTAAGAAGTAAGGTGATGAAAATAAAAGATCCTGCAAGTCTCTATAATGGGAAACTTTCTCTAAATAAGGATGTAGTTTCTCAAAATAATGATTAAGTATTGCAAAATGAGGACTTAGTATCTCAAAAATAAACGCTAACTGTTCTGTAAGAATGTTTTATGCTAGTTTAATGCTAGCAGTGGCTAATGTAGCTTCTACCTGCTAGCTTCAAGCTAAAATGTGGTAAAGGCTACAAAAGGAATGTTACATTGTTCTTCATAACTCCACACCTTCAGATTCTTTTCCATCAAACTTATATTTTTAAGCCCTTATTTTTTTTTTTTTATCTTGAGTGACATTACTTGAGTCAATTGTATTAGATTTCATACTGCTCTATGGTGTGTATGTACTTTAATCAGTGCTGTTTTAAACGTTTAACATAAAAATATACTTCACTTAAAAATCTAAAGGAAGACAAAATGCATTTTTTATATTAGAAATGTCCTTCACATAGCCTACAGTGTTTCCCACAGAATTGGATTCTATTTGTGGGAGCACCGCACCGCACCGCACCGCACCCCCCGGCAAGAAAAGCCAAAGGCCCCTTAACCTATTCGGGTGGTCCATGCATCCACCCCCCCCTCAAATAAGATAATACATGCGAGTTCACGGCGCTACTGTGTTGCGTTGTTAACTAGTAGTGGTGTTCCAGGCAGGATTTGAACTCGCAACCTTCCGATCATCAGCCCACCTCACTATCCATTAGACTACAACATTTTTTATTTTTTTATAATAATATATATATTTTTTTCATTAGATCCATTTGTGGCAGACAATATTTAATTGTGGCGGCCTGCCACAAACCGCCACAATTAAATCAATGTATGGGAAACACTGACATAGTTCTGGTGTACTAGCAGAAAGTGCAGAGGTGGACATCTCCAACTCTGGACACATAAAACCAAAACAGTCTGCATGGCTGGATTCCAGTGATGGCATGTAATTAAGTTCATTTAATGATACATATGCTGTACAGAAGTGCTTGTACTTAAGTATTTTTCAATCTACACTGCTTTATACTATTACTTCTGTACATTTCAGATACAAATGTTGTCCTTTTTTACTATACTACATATATGTACCTGCACATTTGTATTTTTACATGGTGATATTAATGTGGCACAAGTGAAACATAATAATAATAACTTTAATTTATATAGCGCCTTTCATTAACCCAAGGTCGCTTAACAAGAAACATTTAAGGACAAGACATTAAGACATAAAACAGGGGCAGAAATGGAACATGTACTAAATGCACCACTGCTAGATAAGAACATTTGTTTGTGTGCGTGTAATTTGTGTTCTTGACGCCTAAACAAACACTTTCAGTACACCAGGGGGTTGGCAGTAGTTGTGAAGCAAAAATATTCAAGAGAAAAAAAACAACATTGTGATTCATTACTGATTAAGAAACACTGTGTAATGTAAGTGCGTTTGAGTGGGCAGAGACCGAGCTGTTATTCCTGTCAATGAACTCCTGGACAGCTAGACGTAGACAGGGTGTCAGTGCCAACAGACAGTTTGTGACGCTCTGTCTTGTGAAAAGTGGAGGTGACTTATGTAAGACAGATTTGGATTTGCAGGTGACCACTAGTGTATCAGGTGACAGACAACGGTGATTACTGAAGAAGATTGGAGCACAGGTTTCATCGAAACCCTTAGAACAGTGCCCAGTAGTGACAGTAACTCATGTAAGGGAGTTATGTCATGTAGTTAATTGGCTTCCATTTATATGGCAACTACTCAAAGAGCTTTACCCTCACCTTCATACACTGTTGGCAGAGGCTACCACACTAGATAACTCTCACACGCAAACTCAAAGGGAGTTTTGACATGTTGATTGCATGGGCTGGGGAGTAAACAATCGACTTCCACAAGCTGACCATTGACATTTTAGGTCAACATGCCACTAGCAATGTGGGCCTTTTGTTTGGGCCTCAGAACTTCCAGCCAAAAATATCAAGGTCCATCTTTTTTTTTGGATTAATTCAAGAAGATCTTATTCCTCTGTTAATTAGGTATTTCTTGCCTAGAGGACGCCTTCAAAATAATTGAATTTGTTTGTTTAAAGCTGAGGTGTCACCCCAACCTCAAGGATTTAAAAAAACAACTATGAAACGAGTTCTTAGTTGTGGACTTGACAGTCGTTGTTATGTCGACTCAGGTCTCTGTTTTTTTTTTTATGACTTCCAACTTGACTTGACCGAAATGTAATTATTTAAGGCTTAATATGGACATGCAATTGAAGACCCATGACTTGACTTGAGACATGATGACTCTAATGACTTTCTGTGTTCATTTAGGTTTTCAGTTTAGATATTTTGATGTTTTAGAACATTATTTAAGAGAATCTCTGTAACTCTGTAACTGAAATAGAGTTATTTGGACCAAATTACTTGATTGAAATTTCTAAAAGCTTGTCTTTTTCTGTTCTGTCCAGTGTGCCAGGAGACAATATGGGAAGCTTTCAAGATATTCTGGGACCGCCTCCCCGAGCAAGAGGAGTACCAAAGCTGGATGAACCAATGCCAGGAGGGCACAGTCACAGCACAATATATTGGCAGCCACTTTAGCCAATCAGAGGAGCATCAGGCTCTGGTTAAAAAGGTAAGATGCTTTCTTTTTAAAGTATATTTAAGAAATACCGAACACAATGTATAACTTTGCTTTTTTTTCCTATTTCTAGAGAATGTCAGAGCCAGGTTTGAAAAGGTAAAAGAAACCACTAATTTATCATTTCAATCATACATTAATTGATCTCATCAGGCTATGTTTTGTAAATGCTACTTTTCTTCCCATTCTCAGTAGTGATGAGCCCAACCGGTCCTGGCAACATATGTGCAGGTAAAGTTATGAAGTCTCTTCCACATTTTCACTCGTCTGTTATTACACATGGCTTCAGGCCAAGCTAAGCTAACGAGTTGCTGGCTGTAGATCATATTTAGCGTATAAATGTGAGAGTGGTTCCAATATGCTCATCTAACTCTTAGAAAGAAATTGAAGGTGTAATTGTATCTCCCAAGTTGTATATTTTCTTTTATCCTTATAATATTTTTAAGAAATTACATATTTTCTATGACCCGGGGGCAGCTAGATCAACCTTTTGCTAAGTTAAAACCACTCTTATCAACGGAATAAAAAAAGAAAAGTAATTAAAAAACATATATAAATGTAGCCACATTTGTAGACCCTACTCGTTCCTCTACATGTATGTGTTTGTGTGCTTATTATAATTTAGTAATATAATATCAGCACAGTTTCAATAATCTTTTACTTTTCACAGCACTCTGACACAGCGAACACCGGAAGCCGTTGAAGCTCCTGAGCTAGGTCAGTGACACTGTTAGCTTCAGGACGTCATGTGACTTTAATCACATAAGCATCCTCTTGTATCTGTACCTGTGCAAAAGCATTGTTGCTACAGGGTCAAACCCTTATCTTTTGTGTGTTTCCATGTAATTATTCCTACAATATTCCAGCTTTCTATGTAGAACGTAGGTGAATCTCTTCTGCGTGTTTGGAGATTGAGCTAAGCAGGTCGGGGTCAGGGCAGTCTAATCAGGAATCACAGCACCTGCGAAAGGTTAACGCACTTGAAATAGACAAGCACTCCTTTATTCAATCCTTTTTTTACACATGAACTCAACCACCCAGAGGACACAGTTGAAGGAGAGGAGGTGGAGGAAGCAGCCGCCGCTGTCCCAGAGGTGGAGGAGAGTCCAGTGAGTGCACACACACATTGTTTACAGATTCATTGTCTTTCACTAATGTGCACATGCAACTACTATAAGCCATAAGCGGAAGAAGTACATTACATTTCATTTGGCTGATGCTTTTATCTAAAGCTTGTTACAATAAAGGCAATAAATAATAAAGATACAAACTCAGAACAATAAGAAAGATGCAGATATAGTTGCTTCAAATAAGTCAGACCATTGTAACAATGATTGTTATCCTGTTTTCATCCCTAACAAAACACATGCATTTTAATGTGTTAGTTTGTCATTGTGGAACCAATTTTGGAAATGTATCTAGAATACTGGTTAGGTTATTAGTACAGTACTGCATTCTAACATACAAGATGAAAGGTAGAATATTTGCCTCTGTGTGCGTGAGATCTAGTAAAGCACAATTGTGTCAAATTATACTTTAGTAAATGTTTTTTTTTTTTTTACATTCCACTGCTGGATGTAACTGGGTCTCTGTCTCTTGGTACAGTTGAACAAAGACATCGCCGTGCAGCCTCTGACCCCCACGATGCAGGAGCAGGTGGTGGAGCTGAGCATCGTCCTGCCCGGAAAATCGTACAGCAACGACCTGGAGAATCCGACCAGCTCCCAGTACCAAACACTCAGCAGACAGCTCGCTCAAAAGGTTTCCTATCTGGCTCCTTATCCTTCTCTGTCTGACTTTAAGACTCCCCTTAGTGCTACTTTATCTTAGCTCCAAAACGGCGCTCACTATTTATGGTCTGTGATGGATGCATTGTTAGCTTTAATAACACACATTTAAACAGCAGCAGTAGTTTCACTGTTAGGGCAGAGTTCAAAAACGCTATGTGCTGAAAATACAGTGTTAAGACGTGTCATGGGAATAGATACACTTTTGCACAGGTACTCTGTTTGGAAGCAGCTTCAGTGGTTTTACAGGTACTTGGAAAATACAGTAAATTTGTTTCAGTGCTTTTCCCTGGCATCATAAACAAAAGCTTGATTTTATGCCTAAAAGGGAAGCCATTTCTCTTAATCTCTGACTTTTTTTTAATCCCAGTGGATATCTGCTATACACATAAAATCTGCTTTCCCCACACATTTAATCACACACATAAACTCACGTGCCTTGTAGAGGTTGTGTAGTGGAGGACAAGATAGTAAGAATAATGTAGGCAAGGGGAAATTGGAGGACAAGCAAGAAGACAAAGGCCCTGGGGATTTTCTGGCGTCCTCTCTCCGATGTATAAAATAAAGTGGGTCAGTGAGTCTGCAGAACAGAACAGTGTATGGATTGTTTTTTCTTAGTGCCTAGAAGCAGGAACCTGTAGACCAATAAAAAGAGTTGACCACAGTGCAGCAGTCTGCCTCCAGAGGAAAATAATCTGGGACACAGGACTCAAAACTTTCAGCTTCTTTGAACAAAATGAGTCCTTGGGGAACAGCAAATCTGAATTATTTTTGCCAAGCAAGTCCATTGTAACCTTGTAAAAAAAAGAAACAAACTCCTCCTGTGGCTTTTTTTAAAAAAAATATTTTTTGTCCTTGCAGATTGAGGATGCTCTGAAGGGGCTTCCTGGATTTAAGAGTGTGTCTGTGAAGGACTTCAGGTCAGTCCCTTTGCTACAGTTTTTGATGGATCTTGACAAAATAAATGACCAAAGCTACCTCGACTCGTAGCACTAACAGTATTTCAATCTCCTTGTTTTATGTAGGCCTCAGAAGGACGACGAAGGGTGAGTCATCTTTACGGGCCGTGGTAGTTAGACCTGGAATATTCTTGTATTTAAGCCCACAGATCCCTTTCAACCATTCGTTAGCTAGATCTGTGTGAGTGTGTGTAGAGTCACCTTCCTCTCACACTGTATTTACCTGTGAGCGTGGGCACATGTCAAGGTGTTTCAGTAGTTTCCTGTTGATCTTAGTGTGTGGTCAATCACATGTTAAGTGGGATCAGGATGGGTTCACCGGAGTGATCATGTGCTATTCTATAGAGGAGATAATCCGGGCTTTACGACCGCGCCGATCAGCCTCCGCGGGAGTGATGGAGAGGAGAAGGGTTAGATATACTGTAAAAGAGATGTGTCAGGGGAGCAAAGGTGAAGACAAGCATAAGACAGGAATTTAAAAACATATAAATAAATGGAAGGAATACAATTTATTATGTGTTCTTGGTGGTGGAAGATCCTTTAGTACAGCCGAGGTACCAATACCTTATCGTGATAACATTTTTGGAAATAGCCTTTTGCTTTCTGGCAAAGAGTTAGCTTTGAAGATTGATGACATCTACACATCTGTAGGGTGTTAGCTTAGCTTAGCATACAGACTGGAAACTGCCGAAAGCCACTAGCCTGGTTATCAGGCTAAATCCACCTAGAAACTCCTCTATAGCATTTCAATGTGTTCACCTATCAATGTGGAACCAATTTGACCAACTATTTAAAGTCATGAAGTTTACATTTTTGTTTTGAAACAATACAATTATAATAACTAAAAATGTTTGTAGTTGTAAAGTACAGCAACATCATGCAATCCACAATATCCAGTTAAAAAATATTCTGTATAATGAAAGTAAAATCTAGGGTGTTTTTATAAAGCACTTCATCATTTGCATGAATGAAGGGGAAGCAGAAGGTAAAAGGAAGGTCATTTTCTAAGCTTATCTTTACAATTTGTTATGTTTTCACAGTACTTAAGTAGATGTACTGACCTACATACAATCCACCCTGGCTTGCTAGAATTATATATATATATATAGCTAAAAATGTACGTTTGCCATTTGTTTGCAAACATACGTGCATACTTATGCCTTCTTACAGGGATGCTGTAATTAATCTTGAATTCGCTGCTAACTGCAGATCTCACAGCACAGGAAGAGTAAAGATGTAAAAATCTGTATGAAGCTAAAGTGGGAAAATTCCACTTGGGACCGAGAGGCACGTGCTCAGCCGTCCGCCAGAAACCCGACAAACTAGGTCAGATTGGAGGGCTCCAAGTTGTCAAATGAAGAATGAAAGATTGGATTTTTTCAGGGCTTGGAAACTATTATGAGGTTTCCTTATTTATTATGATGATATTGATCATGCTGCTGACTCAGCTTTTTTTGGGGCCTACAGAGTAGAGCTTCTGCATTCCAAAGAGTTGAAAATTACCCCAGTGGTTAGTCATCTGCGATCCCGAAACAACTCTTTTAACAGGGTCGACATTAAATCACAATAATGCTTGAATGATTTTCATCTTCTTTGACTTTTTTTCAAACTCTCTTATTATAAATGTGTGTATAGGATTGTGAGTATAGGATACATGTACAAATAGTGTAGGTGCATTTTAGAAATTAGCGTATTCATTGGGAAATGCCCTTACAAAGCTTGGATTGGAAAAATTAAAACCTTCTAATCTCACTCAACAACTAATATTGTGCTAAAATATGCGGAATTGTCCAGAAGCCCCATATATGTAAATGAATGTAACACCTACAGATATATATGAAGATGCTTATGTAACTTGTTATGTGCATTAATATTGAATTGTCCCTGTGCAGGGGCGGTGTGGTGGTGGACTACGCTGTCACAGTGGTGGTGGATGGATCAGGAGTGAGCTTGGAACAACTGGACTACCTGACGCTGCAATCCAACCGGGTGGAGAACTCGTACCGTGAAGTCATGGAGCTCCCCACTGTGGTGTACGCCATCAGCGAGGTCAAAGACATCATCACTGACGCCCTGCATAACAACGAGCTGGACACTGTTAAGACCAGCGGAGGCCAAAGCTCGTCTGCTGGTATTCCCCGCACTGTAACCGAACACACAAATGCCCCGTTTACAGCTATTTATTTAATTGGCATGGCAGCTGGGAACACATTGGCAGACTTAGTGCGTGCAGCGCAGGGCAATCGGCCAAATGTCATATCAAATACAGACACAGTAGACCCAACATTGACATTACAACATACGCTACACCACTTGAGAAAACATTCCAGAGTTTTAATAGTCTCATCTGTTTCTTATTTGTCTGAGGAGAGAAGAAACGTATTTAAAAAGAGTTTCAACTCAGAAGTTAATGAACAAAAGCAGACTCATCAGTTACTGGACCCATGTATTTACACTCAAATCCTTTCATTAAGTTGAGAAGAGCTGAGCAAAAGAAAGGATGTTTGAAATCTGAGACTTTTTTTATACTTTAATCCTTAATTTTGGCTTAAACCAAGCATACCTTTCTGATTCAGTAGTTTACCGGACTTATAATGTGCAATATTATTACGAAAAAGTTAGAATTGTGGCACCAGAAGACACAGAAGTAAAGAAACACTCAAATGGTCACACAGGGAGATCTAAACTTCGACATCTGTTAGAGTTACTCAGTAAATAGGTTAGCTACCTCCTACTTCTGGCCTAGGTCCTTCTCCAGAAATGTGAAGAAATTGAATGATGTGATAATGTCTATAGCATCTTTCTTCCTCCTGTGTGATTCCTCCCTGATCATGTTTTGGAGAGAATGCGTGTCATTAGTTTACTGTGTTAGTGAGCTTCCCTGGAGATGCTGCTAAGGCTCACTTTAATTAGAAGCTTTGAATGTGAAATAATGGCTAAACACTCTCATATGGCTGACATGTGTGTCTGGGGAACCTAAAGGCACCGCTTGGCTTTGTTTTTCTGCTTTAGGGGAGATACAGTAATAGCCTTGGCCCCACAGCGGCTGATATTCAGTCCAGATTTTTGCACTGATTTGTAGATATTTCCCCCCTCAAGGTAATGTCAAAGCGAAGGCTGTCAGTGCTGAAATGGAATCGGGTTAAAAAGATTCTGTAAACTCCTGCAGCCTTGATTATTTTATATATATGGCACATGCGCATGTTGTGTGTCAGTGTGTATTAATATTTGTTTCCCCCACCTGGCTCCACAGTGTCTGAGTTCCCTGCCGCTGCAGATGGAGATACGGTGAGTTAACAAGTCACCTCCACTGTCATGACAGCATCTCTCTTTGGGGGGTGCTTGGAGCGGATAAATCCCTTTTTGTTTAAGGAAGCTTGACGCCTGTAGTACTGATGTTGTGAAAACCTTTAACTGGCTTGAGATGTTATCAGGACCAGTGTAGGTAGCGGATGAGCCCACCAATGAGGATGAAGTGAGGCTTTGAGGATTACTTTGACTTTTGCTCTAATAATCCACTGCTATTCTGGGGAAAAAAGTTACAGGGCGCCGCACTACTGAGAATCAAGAGGCGAGACAGCACATAGGAGTTTATTCAGACAAGTAATAACATCTTTAGTCTGTGCTGTCTTGTGGTTGACTGTGCGCTTTGATAGTAATCAGAGTTTGGGTTGCACTTAACGTGTCTGCCGGTTCACTTTGTAGCCCAGCTCCCTAAGTGATTAATTTGACTCATTATATGAGTTGGGAGAGTTTGGAAAACTTCTCACCAATAATTGATTTGCAGGCAAGAGCCCAGAGCTTCTGTGCCACCGAAGCACTTTTCTGCCCCTGTTCGATTTGGTACAATTTAAATTCAGCTGCTGTTTTTTGAGTTGAGAAAAACAAGTGGCTGAAGCATGCCACCAAAATAATTATAGACTTTTCCCAGTTCAGTCGACTTGCCAGTACTGCTTTATAGCTTGTTATTAAATAATTATTTTAATAATTAAATAATCCATTTCAAATGTATAATAATGTTTATCTGTAGAGTTACAGTTACTTTCTTGTAGAGTGAGATTTGTTTTGTTTTTTTAGGTTAGCATAGTGGTCAGAACAAACACCTTTCCCAGCTATACTAACCAATTTTCCCCTGGGATTATTGAAGTATTTCTGATTCCGAATATTCAATTTCCCTGTGTCTATCTTAAAGTCAATTCATTTTTTGCCTAAACATTTCATTTTAGACACAAGCGTTGTACCTACTATACATGAAATGGAAACCACAGAGCAGCCACAGTAGCTGTTGTTGCATGACACACTCACTGTGAAACAGTGCCACTCCTTTAGATAATGAACTCTGTTTGTGATGCAGAATACTGCTGCCGATGAGCCACCAGAGGTCACGATCCTAGAAGAGGACGTAGAGGACGTAGAGGATGTCGACAAAGTCGGCGTCCTGCCTGACGTCTCCGAAACCAACAGAGTGGAGAACAACGAAAACGACATCATTATCCTGGAGGAGAGTGCAGCTGTGTCTCCTGATTCTGTCAATACAGATAGTGAACTTGAAGCTGATAGTAAGTGTTTATACCTAACATACACATTTGCAGTGTATCCCCCTGTGGTGCTTTTTCCCTACAATGATACTTCTATTGTTTTCACTTCGACTGCACTTCCTCCTGCTTTGTTTGCGCTGAAATAACTTGTGAAACTGATCATTTTCTGCACTTCTCACTTCTCATTGTGTTGATGTTAACCAGATAGATCTGTGGATCTTTACTTAGGTAGCCAGTTTCTATAAAAAGAGAGATTGAGACAATTTTCTTCTGTATTTTTTTCCCAGGCATTGCAGAGGAGGGTCTGTTACTCGGGGACATTGTGCAGACTCCTGCAGTAGAAACCCCCGCCGCAGAGGAGCTCCCAGCCGAGCTGTCGGAGGTTACACTTCATGAACCCCCAGTGGATGAAGAGGCCTCTGGAGTGGGCACAGACGACCTGAATAACCTGCTCGAGCCACCTACAACCACAGAAGAAGAAGAAGAAGCAGAGTCTCTTGAGGAGACTGACCAAGAAGATGGGCTGATAACGGAAGATGTCGCCATCAATTCAGAAATCCCAGAGGATAATGAGATGTCCTCAATCGCAGCTGAGACCACAGAGGAAGAAGAAGAAGGCCTGTCTGTCCTGGTCTCACCTCCTGAGACTGAAGAGGAAGCGACTGAAGCACCAGAACCGTTGGCAGAAGAAACAGGTGAAGAATCTGTGGAACAACCAGAAGAACAACTAGAAGAACAACTAGAAGAGCAACTAGAAGAGCAACCAGAAGAGCAACCAGAAGAACAACCAGAAGAGCAACCAGAAGAACAACCAGAAGAACAACCAGAAGAACAACCAGAAGAACAACCAGAAGAGCAACCAAAAGAACAACTAGAAGAGCAACCAGAAGAACAACTAGAAGAGCAACCTGCAGAACAACCACAAGAACAACTAGAAGAGCAACCAAAAGAACAACCAGAAGAACAACTAGAAGAACAACCTGCAGAACAACGAAAAGAACAACTAGAAGAGCAACCAGAAGAGCAACCAGAAGAACAACTAGAAGAGCAACCAAAAGAACAACCTTCAGAAAAACCAGAAGAACAACCAGAAGAACAACCTGCAGAAGAGGAAGACAATAATGTGGTGCTGACCATTCCTGAGGAACCTGTGGCGGAAGAAGTTGTCGTGGAGGAAGCAACAGAGAACGAGGTAGAAGAGGCTGCACCTGAAGCTCCTCCTGTGGAGGAAGAGGGCCCGGAAGCTCCAGAGCTCTCCACAGAGGATCTGACAGAGGATGAGATCGTACTGGTCAACGTTGATGAACCAGAACCACTAGTGACGGACTCTCTGAACCCGGTCCAACCCACTGCCCTGTCCCCAGAGAAGGAGTCGCCCTTCACCCGCATCTCTGATATTGACACCGCCCTGGAGGAACAACCTGACATCATCGTCCCTTCACTGGTGGAGGTAAAGCAAGAAGAATTGAATTTAAAAAAGGGGCAAAGTAATGCCCAATTTGATATAATAATAAAATAACAATAAGAACATACTTTATTGATGTTACTACTACTCCTATTACTAACAATAATAATCATTCACAAATAGATCAATAATAATAATAGCTTCTGTTTTTACGAAATCTCAACAGAATATATGATTTTTTGAAATATTTAAACGGATAAAACTTAAAAGAAAACATTTTGTGGAACGTATCTGAGCTTTAATATTGCTGTAGGTCCCCAGTTAAAAGTACAATGTAAATAGGTCAAGTTTTATTTATAGAGCACTTCATATAACCAGGGCTAGGTCAATCAGTGCCTTTATATGTAATCAGCAGGATCTTATAGCTTCATCTGAATTCAAGAGGAAGCCAAAGAAGGGATTTAAGAACAGCCGGTTCTTGTTAATAACTTGGCAAGTCTCTCCTTTTTTACTGCCCCAGATCCAGACCACTGACGGAGGCTTGGAAGGTGCCACTAATGGAGACAGCGACTATGATGTGATCCATTATGGTTATGAGTTGATTAACCACACAGAGGAGGGCAGCACTGGCTTTCCGTTTGGTGCACACGGCACGGACCAAGTCAGTATCGCCATGCCAGTGAACCCCGGACGAGCACTGATGGTGTTCTTCAGCCTGAGGGTGACCAACATGATCTTCTCAGAGGATCTCTTTAATAAGAAATCCCCAGAATACAAAGCTTTGGAGCAACGATTCATAGAGCTGGTAAACTCCTGTCATTTACTGCACTTGATTATCAGCATTCCCACTGTTGTGTTGTAACATCAAACCGTTTTTTTTGTATATTTTCCCAGCTTGTGCCCTACCTGCAGTCCAACCTGAGTAACTTTGAGAACCTGGAGATCCTGAACTTCAGGAACGGGAGCATCGTGGTTAACAGCCGGATGAAATTCGGAAAACCTGTTCCACAAACCGTTACCACCACCGTCTATCTGATCCTGGAGGACTTCTGTAACACAGCCTACCAGACCATGAACCTGGCCATCGATAAGTACTCACTGGACGTAGAGTCAGGTTGGTTCTCACGATATACACTGTGTTTTGATCTAGACAACTGTGATATCATGAATTGTTTAATGCTTGTTTTAGATGTTTCTTTAAGGAAAAACAAGTTGTTGCTTTATGCAGAGAGTTCAATTCCAGAACCTATTAGGGCTGTACCCGAATATCCGAATATTCGTTCGTTGGAGTACTATTCAGGTTTCAATTTCGTTATTCGGATATTCCTTCTTTTTTTCCAGCACTGTGGTTGCCAAATTGAATTGATTGAAAACTCCAATATCAACGTAAGAGCTTGTGCCTCTTCGGGGGGTGCTAACACTTAACCATAAACGTTATCGTTTACTTTCTCCGCCCTTATGTAGATATTACTTTTTCTCCGTTAATCTCTGTCACGTTGTTTCCATAGCAACAACAACTTCCTGTTAACAGCGCTAACTCTCCTTCAAAATAAAAGCATGTCCATACAAAATAGGAAGTCAAGCCAAATAAGATTTAAGACATATACAACTGCAACGAAAGTAACAAACACAATGCAATATCCTTTTCAATTTCAAAGAACACAAATTGGGTTGCATAGATTAACAAATAACTATAAAATAACAAAATGAATGCCGTGAATAAACCGAAATGCACGTGTTGAAGCGGTTCACTGCTGATTCGCCTCTCATGTCTTTGCGGGAAACTACAAATGAAGCGAGAGCGAGTAGATGGATATTTAAACTTAGCATTAAAGGTACTGATCATAATTCCATTGAGGTATACTAAAATAGATTTATGTGTTAGAGTTTTACTCGCTACAGGGTGTACTTTGAGGGTTTGTGACTCTGCAGACCGTTGCAGAAAAAACCTTCATAACACACAAGGGGGCGGGTAATAACCGGAAAAGCATGACATGGGACCTTTAAAACTAGAAACGAATAGAAACAGCTTGCCTGGCTACGTCAAAAGCTGAAAAATCTCTGCACGGATTTAACTTGTTAGCCAAGGAGCTTTAGACGTGCTGGTAGGCAGATTATGTGGCGCCAATCTTCTCATCTAACTAGAAAGAAGCCGTAATTCCCAAAATGATGAACTATTCCCTCAACGACTGTAATCGGAGAGCATTGTTTTATAATATAATCTCAGTAAATCAGTGTTGAGTGACATGCTAGTGTGTCAAAAGGCCTGGGAAAGCAGGTGTTAGATCCTTGTCGTGACACTTGTATCGACAGCTGGGTTGAGATGATCAAGGCTTCCCTGGACAGCAGCCAAGTTTACATGTATCATTACTGCACTTTGACCGGCTGATTACTGCCTGCAGCTCTGGTTTCACATGTGTGAATTATATTGCCATTTTTTTAACTAGGGAGCAAGCATGAAATCTTCTGTGCTCTTTAAACATTTTTTGCATTTCCTCATGTGGTATCGGTCTCCAGGCTTCTGTGCGTGACACCATCAGCCAGCTTGAAATGGGCAATCTATGATAACAGTGATTCATGCTTGTGTTGTGTTTACAATCATTACTGAGCTGTCATAATCTGTCTGATCACTGCCAGCGCTCATTGCTGGATCCCAGCATGCATTAGGGCTGCATTAGAATGGAAGGAAGAATTACCTTTGTATGTGTCTGTGAATATCCTTTTACAAAAAAACAAACAACGAGGAGTCTTTTGTCAAACAATGGACTATTATTTTGTTGAATTTAATACTTTTTTGGAGTTGAATAAACTAATATCCCTGTTAATCTAAAGTTGCATAGCAGAACTCAAAGGGTGAAAAATGCTGTTGTTTTTGGTGTCATTTAAAAGAGTTATTTAACCTTTTGGGAAATATGTGTTTCAAATGTTCGTCTTTGAGAAAGGGTTAGGGTATAATATACTCTCCTCTTTAAAACTGTGATCACTACATGAGAGTTTAACAACCTGTAGATGACCTGCATGTTACTGCTTATCCTGATAACCATTAAAAGTCAACACTACTGTTTCTTTTTGATTTCTAGGGGATAAAGCCGACCCCTGTAAGTTCCAGGCGTGTAACGAGTACGCTGGGTGTAAGGTGAACAAGTGGTCGGGGGAGGCAGAGTGTGTCTGTAACGCAGGATACTTCAGCGTGGACAGCCTGCCCTGTCAGAGCATCTGTGACCTGCAGACTGACTTCTGCCTCAATGACGGCAAGTGTGACATCATCCCCGGCCAGGGAGCAATCTGCAGGTGGGTGTGGATTAGTGGGAAATGATCTGCGTAAGTGTGTGTGCGGGAAAAAATGGTCTGATCTTAATCACAGAAACAGATTTTCAGCAGTTTTGGCAGAAGGTCAGATTCTTAGCTTCTAGTTTTGACGTTGCTTGGCTGTATGTTGATGATGTGGAGTTTCAGAAGCATATTTTTTATTTGGCTCCTTATACTAGGGATGTGAAATGTGCAATAGCCTAATGAATTATAATCATAACCAACTGCATAGAATACACATTTATTTGCACCGTAGTTGGTTACAAATAACAATGAACTGTCTTAACATTTTTATATTTTCTGGCTTAAATCAAGATTGTTTTAAAGAAACTCACGTCAACATTTTGAATAAACTTTTTTTATTTCACTATGCTCTCTGGTACTGAATGTACTGAAGAACAATAAGCAACCTCAGAGGAGGCATTATTACCAATATTTGATTAATATTGTGATCCATTTTTCAACTCCTGGATGCAAAATATCACATTTTGGGTCAGTGAAGTGTTTCTTATTATGTGGCGTTTCAACACTTTTCTATTTATTTTCTTATCTCAATTATTTCAAAATTGCCATCTGTGTGTGTTCTTGTTAATGTTTATGTCTTAACATGTTTGTGCATGTTGTCCAAACAATCATATGCACGCGTCAATGTGTGTAACATGACGTGCCAGAAATCGCAATCAGTCACAACATGTTCTCTGGCCGTGTTGAAACTGATGTATGTGGTGCACTTTAAATTGAATAATTATAAACAGACAGAGAGGCGGCTGTGTGCCAAGATGAATGTGAACCTTTGATTTACTCTCTCCACAACACCATAAAACACGCAGGCAGCTCCAGATGCTGTTTGATTGTTGTTTACTTCACGCCTTCCAACCCTAAGTATTGCGTCGCTGAATCGAGACAGGAAACAGACTAGATGAGTTGTTTTATTTCAAAACAAAGATTTAATGACACATACAGAACATTATAATAGTTGTTGCCGACGATCTCTAGACAAACAGGATTCAGGATTCAGCCATTTTTTTTTTGTATATACTAAAATCATTAATAAACACAACATTAGAAATAAAAAACAAAGAACTATGACGTTGTTTTTCTGCTGTTCCCCTAATGCTTAAATAATTTTTAAAAGGAATTGGTCCGTGTCCAGTACCCTATTTTTGTTTTGGAGTGGAAATTATTGTTTTCTTTACTAATCCAAAACAACAAAAAATAAAAAGGGAATAAATTACAGAGATTCTATAATACCTTCATGTCAATCAGGTCTATAATGTTCTTGAATCATTGAGTGATTAAATCGTTTTAGCTGACAAATTCTCAATTTTATCATCAGGTGTCGTGTCGGGGAGAACTGGTGGTACAGAGGAGAGCACTGTGAGGAGTACGTGTCTGAGCCGCTGGTGGTCGGCATTGCGATTGCCTCCGTAGCTGGATTCCTATTGGTGGCGTCCGGAGTCATCTTCTTCCTCGCCAGGACGTTACGGGATCAGTACGACAAGGATGAGTCAGAGGACCCCATACGGTGAGACGATCCACGTACCATATGGCTCAGCAGCCCTCGATCATTTAGGTCTAGCAACTAATCCAAATAATACAGATTTTGCATGTTTACTTACCAGTGAGGGACACAGTGAGAAATCAAAAGGATTGTGATTGTAACCTAAACAAATCATTGTTCTGACAGGAAAAAAATACTTCTTCAACTTCCTAAACTCTGGAGAATCAGCTTGCGTTGTGTGTGTGTGGCTAACCTACAGATCCACTGTATTTACTTTACACTGTACTTATTTTGGAGATCTAAGATGTTTCCAAAGATTACAAATATGTCAGGCTCAATTTTGTATGCACAAAAAATAATGCCCAAGAGACCAATAACATTTAAAAATGCATTCATATGAAGTTCACATCCAAAATGTGCAATTGAATTGTGACACCAGCTGAAACAGTATACATATGTGACCCTGAAAAAGCTAATTAAATGATAAATTACCCCGTCAGATTGTTTTTCCATAGTGAGCAAAAGCTGTGAAGTGTATACTCCAAAAATAAACAAACTTTACTTTCAGTTTGATAGTGAACAGAAACCCTCACATTTAGTGTGTTTGAAGTTTTTCTCAGCTCCACGTAATCCTTTTTGGATTAAAGGAGCCTGGTTACTTTCTTCAGGGGACAGAATAAGTTGAAACACCCCATGAATGTATCCTCAGTTAGACGGCCAAAATTATCCACGGCACCATCCCATTACTCCTGTAGACTTCAGGCGGGAGGGCTCCCTTTTTCTGGATATCTTTTTCCTCCTGTGCTGCTTTGATCCAGACACAAAGATACACAGAGTATCTGTTCACCATCTATCTCTTTGTGTTTGTGTGTGCGTGTGTGTGCCTGGCACGGTTTCCAAAGCACTCCGTGAAGAATCACTGTGCTATAACCTAAGCCAGTTATCTGATCAGAAACGCTGCTGATCTAATTCTAAAAAGCTCACACACAAACAGTCACACAATAGCTTCTCCAAGACAAACAAGAAAGACTTATCCGAGGTTAATGAGGGTTCGTCTCTGCTGAAGTCAGATTCAATGCTGCTCAGTCACCTTTTTTCTGGCTTCCTTGACATTGTGACGTGGACTGATTACTTTTGTTGCTCCGCAGGCGAGCAGAGAGTGTCCCGTCTCTCGAGAGGGCGACTAAGTACAACCCCATGTACGAAAGCGAGGCCACCACAGGCTACAACCACTACTACCGCCGCTATCCTGAAGCTGCGGTGTACAGCAGTGCCAGCGCTGAGGCCTCCACTGACTTCAGCAGTGAGGAGATACGACACATCTACGAGAACAGTGAACTGACCAAGGAGGTGCGTGTGTGGGCTGCTACCCATGGGTATACTTAAAATATGTCCAAGCAGCATTGAGAAACGTAATTGTTCTTATTACTTTTAATATGAAGGGAACTGTTTTACCAGATGTCATACTAAGTTTCTGCATCAAAAATACTGTAGTGGGTGATCAGGTTTATTGGCGATCACAGAGAAATTAAGAGGTGACCAGTGATGAAAAAAATACTCTTAACTTAAGTAAAAGCAGCAATTTGATGTTGCAGAAATGTTAACAAGTTACAGTCCTACATTTGAAACTTTTATTTTTGAAAAAAAACTGTGGGAATTGTCCCAGTCCTCCGGACGTACAGTAGCATCAAAATATACTAATACATACTAGTTTGGGGTACATCAACTGATGTTTAGTCTGGACAGACGGGTACATTTTAGGGAAAGAAGATGCCTTATTTAAAATTAACCATCCACTTGATATTGGATGGTTACTGTGATTGCTAACATACTCTGAGTGCCTTTTTGAAGCACAACTGAAGCACAACTGAGTACAGTTATACCAAAGTGAAGGCCAGAGATGTGCCAACGCCATCTGGATGCTGGATGGTAGTTAATGACACCGGACGGGCACATCCTGTCCCACATGGATATTTGACCTGACAAGGATCTGAATTGGGAAATATCAGGTTGTAAACTTGCTCTATTACCAACTGGGATTTTTGCCATTAAATAGGAACCTCATTTGTTTTTCTTATGGAGTGTAAAATGTCACGTTTTGTTTCAGCCCCAGCCGGTTCACTTTTTATTTGCCTGTGATGTAATGTTCCCTCCCGACTGATACCATGTGTTTCTGCAGGAAATCCAAGACAGGATACGCATCATTGAGCTCTACGCAAAGGACCGACAGTTTGCAGACTTTGTACGGCATCATCAAGCGTAAGTGCCTCTCTTGTTTTTCCTATCGTACCGCAATGAGATAAACACATGGACCAAACTAACCAGTATATGAGGAAAACGGGAAGTGAGTTTGAGATACAGGAGTCTGGTCAAGATTCTGCTGAAAAAATTGATTAAATTGTTTGTTCAGAGCTGGAGGAAGACGAAGAGTTCAAGCCACACTAAACCAGTTGGGAAACGGATTTATCATTCTTGAACCCTCACCAATCAGGCCCTGAGCTGATTCAATAAGACAGAAAGCATTAGTGGACACGGGCATTCCTCCGTCTGCCAACAGTTTGGCAGTAGCAATGCGTCTGAGTGTAAAAGTGGAGGTTGTTTTAAGTCTTATTTGGCTGTATATCCCCAATCTGTATGCCAGATAGATGCTTCTTGCCAGATAAACCTGAGTTAATATGTGGGTACATTCATTAAATAAAGTCACTGGTTTACCTACAAAGCTGAAATACAATTTGTGTGTGTTTATATGTTCTTCAGTGTTGTGGACACACGCAGAGAGAGCTCCTCTGTACACACATGAAACTCTCCTGTGAATAAGGTAACTTTTCTTGATTTGAAGAATGTGTAGCAGCTTATACTTTCAATGACTAGTCCTCCTGAGATATTTGACACAAATACCAGCCTCACTATGTTTAAATAAAAGTGAAATACATAATATGGGGGTACAGTATGTGTACTCAAAGATTCGGAAGACTGGTAGAAGTTCATATTGACCTCTAAAAAAGAAAATGGTGGCAGATATAATATCAAATACAGTAGATTACCAATGGTGCTGCAATCAATAAATACAATAATACATACATATTACATTAACAGTTGATGGAAAGGGCGCATATGATTATATAATGCATATCAAAAAATAGCAAAAGAAGTTAAGCTCTTGCAGTTTTGAACACAGAACTGCAAAATGTATTTAAATAAACGGACAGTGCCAGACTATTCCTTGGCGAGGAGCAGTTAAAGTAATTGCTCCATATCAAGACATTTTCCAGTACAAATTCAGGCTAGCTGTGTCTATGTGTTCCCTCATGCCAACCTTAGCTGCGGTCTGTAGCTTCATATTTACAGACTGGAGAGTGGTACGCATCTTCTCACTTTAAATAAAATAACAAAACGTATTTCCAAACAATTCCAACAAAAAGTTAGATCATTCCTGGGCTCGCAGCATATTGAAGCCTCATAAGTCAAGATAGAAAAGGTGTTTCCATGAGCTTATGGAGAAATTCAAGTGAGACATTGTGTTGGCAGAAAAAAAGGATATGATTGTAGAAGATTAGTGTGTATATCTAATACATAAAAGATGTGGACACTGCATACTCACTCACCTTTTCCTACTGCACAGAAACATGCCTCTATGCTAGAAAAGCGAAGACTCTCCCCTTTCTTCGTCATGGCACTCACAATCTGGACTGGTTAAGACGGACTCATTCAGCACGCTGCTCTTTATTTCCTCGACCAACGACCCCTTTCTGTTTCTACGTATTTCCCCGAAGTGTTGACTGTTCTTCCTCCTTCCTTTGTGCCTTCTCTTGACTGGTCGAGCTGTGTGTGACATCACGTGTTGCTACTGGATGTGTCCCTCTGGACTGCATCCTACTACTTGAAATGTTCATCTCAATACTGTCTTCAGTAGTACTTTTGTTTAGTGGAACAATCGGTCTGTCAATTCTTAGAGGGAACAACTTTAAGACTGTGAATATGTAAATAGTGTCTCTGTGAGGTTGTTTGCTAGTTAAGATGTTATTCTCTACTTTTTTGTCTCTATAAAACTTAAATTACTCTTCAAGTCTTCTCAGAAAGGCCCTGAGAGAACTGCTCTTTTAAGGACAACGGTGCTATTCTGATTCATAATGTGGTGGTCTATGATGACTTTTCTGGTTGTGACTTACATAAAAGGATTGATAAAAATATCATAACATAGGGAGGCGTGTGGCGCAGTGCATTGGTGTTCGGATCAGGGGGTCACAGGTTCAAACCCCACTGCAGTCAGCATGTTGTTGTGTCCCTGAGACACTTCACCCCAAATTGCTCCTGTGGAGATTGCCCACAGTGTTGAGTATGTAAGTCTCTTTGGATAAAAGTGTCTAACAAGTAACAGGTAATAACTGTCTCACAGTAGCCGTTAGCTTAGCTTAGCATAAAGACTGAAAACAGGGGTCAAACTTCTTAACTCAGGCTGCCCAAATGTAACAAAATCTGCATATACTTAAGTACATTTATATTTTACAAAGAATATATAAAGTGTCAATCATGCTTATTAGAGCTGGTAGATGGATTTTGTTATGTTCAAACAGAACTAAGCTAGCTATTTCCTTCTGTTTTTAATTTTCCAGTCTTTTTGCTAGGCTATGCTGCTTGCTTGAGCCAATGCACAGATAATAGTGGAATACATTTTACCATTTAAATCTCTATAAATAAGGGTATTTCCCCAAATGTCAAGCTATTACTAGAAGTTAGCAACATTAAGTGGCAGTGTATGTGTTATTGCTGATCATCAATGTAAAAGCACACTTTCACAATTTTAGCGAATTCCAGCAATGTTCTTTCTTTTGACAGGGGATTTCTCTGCCGTTTTTATGTCTCCTTTTATTAGAAGCTTTGGTGTATGTTTGTAAAAGTACGGCGTGGTAGACATAAGAAAGTGAAAACAGTGGTGATGGGAGCATGAAACCTCTATAGCTCTGGGATCCAGAAATAAGTGAAAACACGTTTCAGTGGAAAAATGCTCCGGGGCAAGCGGCCCTGGGATTTGATGAAATGGTTTGCTTTCAGATGTCAAATGTAATGCAACTGAAAAGCAGGCTGATAAACAACATGCTCTCTTTGGAATGACAACCTCAAGCTGAAGTCTCCCGCTGAAAAAACCTCAAGGTTACAAGCAATTCCTTTAAAAAAAAAAGAAAAAAAGAAAAACATTTCTCCTGTGACTACGTGTTTGGCTATGATCCTGCTGTTCATTCTGAAAGCTTGCAACAGACTATTTGCAGCATTCAGTTTGTAAGAGTCCGCAGGTTTTTTTGATTATTGTCGGCAAGTGTGCCCATCAGAATCAGATCCATATATTATATTTTAGCTTCTTGTTTACATTTACAAGCAACAAACACCGGTGAAGCAGACTCTTGTGACGATTTCATGCCTTTTTCAATCTGCAGTCAGTTTAATTTTTTTGTGCATGCTTTTTTCTGGTATCTGCATACAGTTTATGTCAACACCTGCCACCTGTACAAACGGACAGTCATCCCATACAGTTTTGTCATGTAAATAACATTGAAGATATTAGATATTTGATAGTTGTAGGATGTAAATCATGTGTGTCTCAAATGTTTCAATAAATGAACATATTTTTATACTGATAACTGTTTCACCACTTTAATAGTGTTATCAAACCGTGCAGCTGTGTAAATAACTAATACAACTAATTGTAACATTACACAAATACAAAATGTAAGTAAACTAAGATGTCATGATATCACATCATTAGCCAGTTAGCTTAGCCTATTTTAGCAAAAAGCCTCAACTTTGTAAAATAACATGTTTCATTTCATTAAATAAAAATTGCCCAAAAGCCACATTGGCCATGTAAGTAAACTACAGACTGTGGTCGGTGGTAAAAAGTAACTTGGTACATTTACTTCACCATTGTACTTTAGTACTCAACTTTGTAAAATAACATGTTTCATCATTAAATAAAAATTGCCCAAAAGCCACATTGGCCAGCAACAATACATTTTAATCTTGAAAAAACGAATTATGTAAATATATTTTTTGCTTGGATTGCTATTTTAAGAATTTTTACAAATCATATTTTTTACTTTCAATTGAATGAATAGTTCAATTTCTGGAAGAAATTGTACTTTCTTGCTGGAAGTCAGATGAGAAGATGTCATGATATCACATCATTAGCCAGTTAGCTTAGCCTATTTTAGCAAAAAGCCTTGACACAAATGAAAACAGTTAGCCTCTGTCCAAAGACACCAAAATTGGTCGACCTGTCACTCCTAAAGGAAGGGGTCGTAACATAACTGTTTCCAAATGTCCAACTATTCCTTTAAAAACTTTTAAACATGTTTCTTGTCATTGTTAAGAAAACTCTAAGAGGGAGAACAGACTTGGTTGACTTGGTCTCTAGTCGCTAAGATGCTAGCTTTTTCAATGTTGCTGTTGGACAAGATGTTTAGCTGCTCCAAGATAATCCAGATTAGTCTCAGCAGGTATGGATTAGGCCCGTCTGTGGGAATAACAGTTTCCAAAATAGTGCATACTAGTAATCAGCCTGCGTCACACACACTCTCACAGATGCCAGGGTGTGGCGAGTGAAAGACATTGTGTAAACATTTTTCTGGTGAAATTCTACATTTGTGCATTTTTTGTCTCTGTTCTGCACTATATTAAATCCAGCTGCTGTTGCTTTTGTTATTTTTTAGAACGAGCAAAGTTCCAGAGGTTTGGATTATACATTTGGTGTGGTTTGGTGAGATCAGCGGGTGTGTTTTTGACAAGTGATGGCGTTATTTAATTTAAGTCAATTACATTTTAGAAAAGTTTAAAACACCATGGTTACATAGCAGGAGAGTTTGCTTGCTTTAAATGGCTCAGTTTGGATCTTTCACCTGCATGAAGTCAGCGGGTGATAAATGGAAAACATTGAGTGAGGGGGGAAATAATTACTGCATGCTGACAGACTGACTGTCGTTCTGGAGTGAGTAACTCATGAAAAGTCCCATTTATGGCAATGTTTCTGACCAGGTGGGTCGATGTTTGCTCCAGTTAGAGTTATTGAGCGTGTCATTTATGGCAATTGTGTGCAACTAGCCGGTGGAAAACCCCTTCATATGTTGAATTGTCATATTTGTTCTCTCTGGGTGAGGGTAAGGGGTTTTGTAATGTGCATTTTGTCACAAGCAACAACCTCCTTGTGCCCCCTAAAAAGTAGTTTTCTGTCAGGCAGTCTTTACATTCTCTCTATACAAAATATAAATCCCTGTGCTTTTAATACAGAAAGATCAGTATTGCAACTAACTATTTTCTCCAAAAAATACCCCTAAAGTATTCAAGATAACTAATAAATCTGAATATCAGTATTCACCACTTTAAATTATTTGACAATTTATGGATTTTTGTGGCTGTCGAGTGTTTGTAGATAGCAGATTCTGCGGCTGCATGTCACAAATTGAGTCACATTTCGTATAGAGAAACTTAAATGCGCTTTCGTTGTGGAATCTGGTCACAGTTTATAGGAAGTGAGGAGTATGTGGTGTTATGGATGTGTTGAAACCTGATCCTCCACAAGAGGGCCATGTATCTGTCTTCACTCAGAGGAAAGCCTCATAAATATCCCCTGGATACAATTCACTTTTTTTGTTGTTTTTATTTAGTATACAATATATACCATTCATCAGGGCATTGCTGGTATTATTATACAAATTGCACTCGTTATAATATTTGTAATCAAATATGTTTTAGAGCCATTTGAACCTTTCTTGTGTCTTAATGACATGATTGTGTGTGAGAGAGCAGGCAGACAGAGGGAGAGAACGATTTCTCAAGAGTAGTAATCTGTGTAGACACTTGAAGTAATCCCTACTCCATCTTTTCCTGTCTTCCTGTCTCTTCCTTCAACAACAGCATGTAATTATGCTGATAAGCCGTCTGTGGTGTTATGTGATATCTCAATAAGTCTGTGGCTCATTCTCACGTGTCTCTGAAGACTCTTGTTAAGCATCTTATAAACGTCTGCTGATTTATGAGCAGACGAATGACAGAGTTAGCGGGGCGGCCCTGGCCAGCTGGCTGTAAAACTGTGCAGACAATATGTTTACCTCTGTGTACCTGTAGCACGAAAAACAGTTTGTACCAGCAAGTCGTTACCACTGAACCTGTTGGACTTTAATTGCTCTCGGCTGTTGTTTGGGGACGTTTGTGTTTTCTCTTTAAACTTAAATTAAAGCTAACTTAAAGCTTAAATTGATCAAATATTTTATAGAAACAGTTTATTACACATTGCAGGTCGTCTCTGAATTTCAAAGGACTGCCATGATCATTTTATATTCACTTTCATCTCTTTCTATTTTTTGTTATTGCATTCCTTTTCTTTCTATTTGCACTCCCCCTCCTCACGTCATTTCCTTTTAAATCGTGTTATGACTATGTGTTTTCTTTCTAAGCTTGATGTGGGACCATTAATGTCTCCAGTATTTTTTTATGTGGGTGTGTGTTGGACGGAGCAGCATGGAAGACGAGAGTGAATCGGGTCGAGGGAGAAAGAATCGGAGTAGGCACGTGGCTGGATTACTGCTCTGTTTTCGGTGCACGTGCCTAACCAGCAGTGTGGCCGATAGGAGTGCAAGTCATCGTTTGCTTTTTTCCATGTCCCACTGGCCTGATACTAGTCATTTTCACAGGCCCAAATCTGCCTAATGTTGAACACTCAGCATTTATCACCAGACGATTGAGTGGTTACAGAGGGATATTTGATTGTGTGATTACAAACTCCAGATATATATTCACGTTTCTTCTTTTTAAAACAATACGCCAATGCTCTGTTTACAGTTTAATGTGCTGCCCTCAAGTGTTACATTCAGTTAACTCAGGTTTAAATCAGACTGGGCTCTGGTTTCAGACAGAGGGTGAAAAGAGGTGCTGCAGCACAGGCAGTATGAGAAAAAGAAAGACCTTTTTGAACATCAAAGCATAAACATGCCCCAGTAGAGGCACAACACACAAACATGAACCTGGTAATTAGCATAATATGTCCTCTTTAACTTTGGTAAGACAAAAGTGTTTGTGCAGTAGTGAAAATCCAAAAACGACCGCAAAATGTCATGTAACTTGGAGGGGTGTAACATTTTCCAAAGAAGAACCTATTACATTTAACCGAGAAGATCTGAATCACAGGGCGGATTCACATTAGAAAATAAATGGCCTGAGGTCTGCGCTCTCCAAATGCCCTTCCTGTCATAATGTATTTTTCATCTTTTATGATTTTAAG